CTTTTAAGCATTTTTGGCTTTTCATAAAAAACATAATTTATATATTTATAATATCATCTTAGAAAAGTGAATATTGGTTGCTTAAATATAACCAATTTTCATGCTCATATTTTCAAATTCATAAGGTTGTGGCATAAGGAGAAAGAAAAGAAAAAAAATATTGTTGGTCTCTCAACCTGTAAAGTGTAAAAAAAAATCTTTTAATCCTCTTAATTTGGTATAACAGTATTATATTGTTAGAATGTCACTTTTGTTGTGATTGATCATGAAATCCTTTCTAAGGTCATTTGCACTGCACCTTTGCTCTGGCATGTACAGAAGTTTTCAGAACAGAACAGAACAGAGTTTATTTCATAATTTGTACACACATAGGTGCATCGTTATAACAAGCATTTTGAAATATAATTATAGGTCACATATTTTACAATTACACATAAAGAAAAAACAAATCAATACAATACTGAGCAATGGGATATTCAATACGTACAATGTAATACATTACATATACATTACATTATCATTTCCTTTGGAAAGTGAAGGCAACTAGTACTAGTAAACTGCTTGACAGCCTGTCCAGGCTGAACTGTGCTCTGAAAAATTTAATGTGGCTTACTGTGGTGATCGGAGTGAAAACTACCAAGACAGCCACCACCACTATTATTAGTAATGTAAAGGTAACATGAAACAAAACAAAGAAAAAAAGAATTGAAATATAAGTAAATGAACATTTATTGTCTTCGACATGAGTGTTTGATTACCCATCTGGCATGTTTGGCTTGCCCCCACGTACACATTGCCAAAATAATGCCATGACCTTTAAAACACAAGGTTGTTGTTAAGAGAAATTTTTTGAATGCCATATAAATAGTACTTCAAAATAACATCTGTGAAATAATTTTTATATTCAAATGTTTAGTTTTTTCCCCTCTGAAAACTCGTGTCACTTGTGGAAGATTAGAACTGTTTAAAGATTTGAACTTTTCATAGTGTTGCCAACTTGTGGTAGTTTTGTCCGCTAAGGGAAATACTTAGATTATTACCTGTATGAAGGCTGGTAGATAGTGAATGAAATTTACAGTCACAAGACAATCATTTCATGTGAAGATAGCAAACTTAATAATTATTTGGGATTGTTGACAAAATAATTAAGATAAGAAAATAGCCAACCATTCTACTAAATATATTATTGAAGGCATGCACTTTGCTTGGTATGTAAAAGCAGTGGCAATTGTTAATGTTTTAGTCCTTGCAAACCATGTCATTGTCTGTCTATTGCCTTATTTTAACAGCCAAAGTTTCTGCTTGGATGTAAGGTTATGCAAATCTTTAATGATTTAATCAAATTTTCTTTCACCCAATATTAGGGTCTTTCCCCAACATATGATTTTATAGGATTTGGAAGTCTACCCTTAAATCTAGGGAAAATAAAGTTTTTGCAAAAAATTAAAAAACGAAACGTCACATCAGTTAAATTTTATGGGGAAACTGCATGATTTAAAAAAAAAAAAAACAGAGAGAAAGAAGCCCATGAACAGACCCTACAATAGAATAGAAAAAAAAACACCTAATTATTGCAAGAAAAATGTATGTAAAAAAAAAAAATAATAATATTGGGGTTTTAATATGTATGACAGTCCAGTGAGTTGGTTATTTAGAAACACCCCATTTCTTTTTGTGAGTTTTATATATCAACACTGTATGAACATCACAGCTGTGACCAAAATTTGAACTTTTGAAGAAATTTGGCAAAAATAACTTCGGCAAATAGTATGTTGAAATGTGTAACATGGATCGTGTCCTTATTTTACTTTGTTCATTCTGTATTAATGTATGACCTTGAATAGAATTGTCCTTATCAGTAGATTAAGCCACTCTACAAGTAACTCAGATAATTAAGTTAACTTGTTACATTACAGTACTTATGATTCTATATATGTATGACTCTATGTATAAATGAGGTTTTTGACTTACATTTGCCCTTTTTGCTGGTTACATTGAGTAAAAGTTTTAAATATTATAACTGCAATAAATGTTGTTTTTTTTTGCGTAAAAATTAAAATTGCTTGTTATTTTTTGGGGGAATTTAAAATTTTTGTCTTTAGGTTTTTTAATAGCCCAACTTATTGTCCCTGTGCAAAAAGATATTTGGCTTTTTTGTGTCTGTGCAATTTTCTCTTTCTACGTGAAAAAGTGAGATTTTTGTATAGATTTGAATCACCCAGGGAAAAAAAATTCAGAATCAGATTTGGCACTTCAATATATTTTGACTTAGGTCTTTTAGAGCTAAAAAATTCCATTTTCATGTAGTTTTCACTCCTTTTTTCCTATATACCACTACTATAAATTGTAAGTTAGCAAGTGCTTACATTAATAAGACAGGTTTGTTTTCTTGTTCAAGTTGTTGTAAGATTTTATTAAAATTACAAAGTGTTTTCATAATACAGTGCATGTACATGTATTTATTAATCTGAGCTCAAAACACCACTAAATAAACACCAGTAAACCTGTGTTAGCAATTTTAGGTCCAACAACTTGATGGTGTCTTTTGTAATTTAATAAAATGAAGGCAGCTAGTAACCAAGTATTTCACTGTACAGTTACTTGGATGATTTTTTCTAGGTTCATTTGTTAATGGAATAACCAGGGACACAGTCTCAGCTTAAAACTTGTAAAGTTTAACAATCCTATTTGATATAGGTCAAGGAAACTGGTCTAGACTGGTGTAGAATTAAGAAGACTGGGTTAGAATTAATAATGCTGTCAAGTATTTTGTAGTAGCAAATTCTTTGTAAATGCTTAATCCAAAGAATACTGTAATGTTATAAATCTGTGATCATTATTATACTTCTGTTTTTTATAAGGATTATCAATATTTGTTGGTCAGAAATTTTCTTACTATTTACAGCTGAGATTGAAGTTTGATGCTAAATGAATAGTTCTTTTTAACTGCCAGTTTTTAGTTGTATACACAATTATAAGATTTACAATAAAGGGAAGTCATGGTCACAAGTTTGTTCCTCTACATCTCTGTCTTTTTAAAAAAATTTGCCCAAACTTATTTCCCCAACCCCTTTTTTTGTCGCCCCTTTCGGATAGTGGCACAATAGGGGTCAAATTCCCGTCATCTGTTGTCCCCGGGGAAACCCAGGGGGAAAATTGTTGGATACCTTCAAAAACACCAGAGGACACCCTTTTTGGGTAAAATTTTATTCTTCTTTTCAGTATTTTTTGGGTACTTATGTTTTTCTTGTTTTGGGGACCCCTTTTAAAAAAAAGGGAAATACCCAAAAAATGACCATTTTGTAGGAACGTTTCCCACTGTTTTGTCGGTCCGTCACAAAAACTTGTCCGGACTACTCCTCATAAACTACTGGTGCAATTTCATCCAAACTTTGCAGAAATGATCAGTACCAAGTCTAGTTTGTTCATATTGTCAACAATTTACGGTTCCATGATTTTTTTGTCAGAGTGTTGGCCCTTTAATAATTTGTAATTTTAAAGTTTGTCTGAAACTAACTCTTATACCACTAATGCAATTTCAATGAAGGTTTACAGGCATTGATCTGTAGCTCAAGTCCTTGCGCATGTTGCACGGGTTTTCGGTTGAATGATTTTTGCCGAGTTATGGCCCCTTTGATATAGAGGTGTTTTTTTTTCTGTGTGTTGCCACATAGGCAAAAGCTTGTCCGGACTACTCCTCATTATATTCTGGGTACAATTTTATCCAAACTTTACAGGAATGATCAAACAAAGTCTAGTTGTGCACTGTCTGTCCGTCTGCTCACAAAATTTGTCCCAATATGAAATTGGCCATCATGAGGCGACACATGTGATTACTGATCTCTCTTGCTATTTAAATTGGACCTTTCTTGCTCTGAAGAATAGTTCACTTTTACCACATATTAAATTGTCTTGTCTGCTTATAAATTGTGACAAAATCATTCAAAATGTCATGGGAAAATTTAAGATACATACAGAATAGCAAACCGTTGCAGATCATTATCATCTGTATTGGCTGATTTTGATCAAATGTGTTGCAGGATGGAGGCTATGTGTTAAGGATTTCAGATATTTTATTTAAACCTTCACCTTGCTAATTTGTTGAATTGACATCCCCTTGCTTTGAACCTGGAACAGTCTATTCATACTTAAAGGGATTTAAATACACAAATAATGAAATTTAAGTAGCCAACAGCAAGTGGTAGTATTATGTACAGACTCAGCCTGGCTGTATAATGAAGGCAAAAAAGTCATTTGTGCTACTTCAAACAAAGGTCCTGAAGTCAAGTGTCAGCGATTTTTCACCTGATATAACAGAGGCTTATAAAAGGCCTCTTTCCAATTAAAAATTTCTTGAAAAAAAAAATAAATAATAAAGCAGTTTTCTAAACAATCTGAACATTGTACCAGTTTTTTTATGTCTTAAATTTGAAATTTTAATGATATTTTCCCCCAAAAAATGAAGAGCCTAAGGCCTCTTCTCAATTATTAAAGTGAGAAAAAACACTAAATGTTAACTGATATAGGTTAGTCTACTCTAATTTACTGTTTCACATACATAATATAGAACATATTTAACAACTTTAGTATCAATTTTGCATCATGGTGTACATGAATAAGTGAATGATTGAAGTTATAGTTGGTTAATATAGAATTTAATTTAGTTTGATTGTGTTGGAAGCTTTAAGCTTATAGACACACTTAAGTCTTTCAAATCCATTACTGGAACCAAGCAGTACTGAGCAATGAGTGTAAAGTTTCTTGCTAAAGGAAACAACAACTTGCCCCTGACAGGGTTTGAACCCATGCGGCTAGCGATCATAAGATTACTAGTCCAACGCGTTAACCACTCGGCCATGCCACCACAGTTATAGTTGTTGTAGTTGAGTATCTTGAAATGAGTTCAGTGAAATATAATGTTACGTGTTGGTAAAGGTAAAAAGTCTCAAACATGTACGCTCTGTTTTCAACGACTTTCATTCTTTTACATTTGTTTTCAGAAACTGCCCGAAAGCTATATGGATATCCATCAGTCTGGTAACGTTGGTGTACACGTTTGCTAATGTAGCGTACTTTACTACGGTCAGCAGAACCGAGATACTGAGTGGAGCAGCTGTAGCTGTGGTATGTACCATTGTCTATACTGTTTGGGGATTGGGGGGGAAGGTTGGCGTGATTGAGGATGCTGAAAGTTTGAACATTTTATCACATACCCGTGCCACTTTTACGGCTCCGTGAAAATGGTATAGCTCGGTCGTGCATATATTTTCAAAATAGTTATATTATATAATGTTTCTGTTATTTGACACACATGAATATTGCACATAAACAGAATAAAAATGTGTCCGGAACAAAATGTTATGCTGCAGTTTTAAGTAGTGTTTTAACAATTTAGCAACAATTTTGTCGAACTCTTTGCTCTGAAGGATAGTTACTAACATATTTCTTCCATAGAGGCTTTTTGGAAGTATCATGTTTCAAAATTCAAAGAATTTAAAGAATTTTACAGGAGATATATAGCTTTATAATGATTATAATCTTTAACAACTGTAATGCACCATATTATGTTCTTTATCTTTGCTTCTGTATTTGTTATAATTTATACTGTATACCTTTTTTCAGCTGTTACTGTTGTGTTTGACTAGAATCATAATCTACTATATTGGTTGATAAAGTATTGGGCACTTTGCATTGTTTTTGTATTTTCAGATGTTTTCACAACGTCTGTACAGTTTCATGTGGGTGATAATGCCGATATTTGTATCACTCTCCACTTTTGGAGGTGTGAACGGTATCCTCTTCACGTCATCAAGGTACGTATTGACTGTGAAATCATCAGATTTGGAGCATAATGTTCTCTTTATGTTTGTGTTTGTATGATCATTTGTTTAGTTTTCTTTGTAAGTTTTTTTACTCAGAAACATTTTATGTTTTATTTCAGATTGTTCTATGTTGGTGCCAGGGAGGGACATATGCCACAGATCTTGTCTATGGTACAGATCAACAGGCTTACACCTATGCCTGCATGCTTGTTTATGGTGAGTTATAAACAAAAGTAATTGACTCCATTCTTACTAAAGTCCTAGTTTGAGTTTATATTTATAGTTAAGTGAATATTCATTTACAGTTTTTTACAATGCCTGAGCAGAAACTAACAAAATCTAAATAGAATAACCTTGGCTTTGTTTGTTTAACAAACCATAAAAAAACCCCCAACAAACAACTATAGACATGTTTTGATTGTTAGTTATCAAAAAAATTCATGTTGATGTAAATTTTATTTTCAATATTTCAGGGTCTACTATCATTGGTGTATTTAACATCGTCAGACATGTACGCCCTCATTAACTATGTCAGTTTTGTTAACTGGCTAGCCATTGGTCTCTCCGTAACGGTGCTTCTTTACTTTAGATACACTAGACCAAACATGAATCGCCCAGTAAAGGTAAGTTACCTGTACCTTCATTTAGTTATCTACACCAGTTTATTTAGTCAGATTTTGTTAATGGTAGGATTATGGTAATCTATTTTTAGCTTGACTATTCGATAAGAATAAGTAGAGCTATTGCAGTCACCCAAGCGTCGGCGTCCGCGTCGGCGTAACCACTTATGTTAAAGCTTTTGTAATAGTTTAAATATTTTCAAAGTCCATTGACATATGGCTTTGAAACTTTGCACACTTGTTCACCATCATGACCCCAACCTGTAGACAGGAGGAGGTAACTCTATCAAGCATTTTGACAGAATTATGCCCCTTTTTCGACTTAGAATTTACGTTAAAGTTTTTGTAATAGTTCAAATATTTTCAAAGTCCATTGACATATGGCTTTGAAACTTTGCACACTTGTTCACCATCATGACCCCAACCTGTAGACAGGAGGAGGTAACTCTATCAAGCATTTTGACAGAATTATGCCCCTTTTTCGACTTAGAATTTACGTTAAAGTTTTTGTAATAGTTCAAATATTTTCAAAGTCAATTGACATATGGCTTTGAAACTTTGCACACTTGTTCACCATCATGACCCCAACCTGTAGACAGGAGGAGGTAACTCTATCAAGCATTTTGACAGAATTATGCCCCTTTTTCGACTTAGAATTTACGTTAAAGTTTTTGTAATAGTTCAAATATTTTCAAAGTCCATTGACATATGGCTTTGAAACTTTGCACACTTGTTCACCATCATGACCCCAACCTGTAAACAGGAGGAGGTAACTGTATCAAGCATTTTTTTTACTATCAAGCACTAAGAATAGTCGAGCGTTGCTGTCCTACCGACAGCTCTTGTTAAATCATGTGACTTTCACAGCTGTTTATTCTCATGAGTGGTTCAGCTTTTATAAACTGGCACTACCCAAGTTCCAACTAAAGTTAGCCAGCAGACATAGCTAAAATGGTAAGAGCTCGAGACTTGTAATCTCAACATTGCGGTTTCGATTCCTGGGCTGGCCAACTAAAACTTATAATCAGTCTTTTGGATGAAACTTTAAATCGAGGTCCTGTGTATGATTGCTTTAACACTTGGCATGCTAAAGATCCAGGAGAAACTTCTGAAATAGGGGCATCTTTCTGTATCTGTATCTTGCACTATAGTCAAAAATGACTAATACTCTTCTGGAGGACTCACCCATATGGGCAACCTGTGGCGAGTATAAATAAACTCAAATACACACAAAAGTTACAACCTGTAGATGAAATATGGGGAAAAAAATGCATGATGGGACCAAAAATGTATTCCACTCTCTATTTAAGCTTGGATCTCAGTGCATTACTGTCACACATGGTTCAAGCAAATAAATTAAAAACATATGTTACATAATCAACATAAAGATAAAAAGATAAACTTGCATCCATTTCTTATATCTGAATATTGTTTATATTTTTGTCCCATTGACTGCAACCATTTGCTGTAAAAGAGGGTTGGGTTTGGCTCTTGATACTTGTTGATAATTTAATGGGCAGAATTTGGTACTATATGTCATTAACCCTTTTAGAAGTGTACTAGAAAAAGGACTTTAATTGTCCAGAAACTGGGTCAGATACATTATCTGTATAAAAAGAAGGTAAAAATGTTTGCTGATAGAATGTTTGTTTATTCAAATGGCATTATTGCTCAATGTGGACTGGTTGTAAATTGTAAACAATATTCATGATATCTATGGCTGAAAACTGGGTCACAGTCAGTTTACTTCCAAATAGTTCTTGTGGTTTTGAGATAATTGTCAGGAAACTTAATTGACCTTGTTCTTAAGTGGATTAGTATATAAGCATAAAGCATTCTTTTATGATAATGCTATGCAAGCAAGATTTCTGTAATGTTTTAATAGGTCAAATGGCTTGTGTTTTGAAATGACATGCCATGAATTTCATGACTTTGATATTGATGTGCTATTGATGTATAAATTTTTAAGTGACCATTTCTATTGTTTTTTGTATACAAAAATAAATTTCTCTGCAAGAGAAATGTATGAATTCTTTAAAAAATGTATAGGCAAGTGTTTATACATACCTTTAGTAAAATAGTTCTTTTCAGTAAGATGTAATGACTAACAATGAGATAAAATGATAATCAGTGAGATGTAATGAATGTCAGTGAGATGTAATGAATGTCAGTGAGATGTAATGAATGTCAGTGAGATGTAATGAATGTCAGTGAGATGTAATGAATGTCAGTGAGATATAATGAATGTCAGTGAGATATAATGAATGTCAGTGAGATATAATGAATGTCAGTGAGATATAATGAAAGTCAGTGATGTATAATGAATGTCAATGAGATATAATGAATCTCAGTGAGATATGATAATTATCAGTGAGATATAATAAATGAAAGCCAGTGAGATATAATGAATGTCAGTGAGATATAATGAATGTCAGTGAGATATAATGAATATCTGTGAGATATAATGAATGTCAGTGGACATAATAAATGTCAGTGAGATATAGTGAATGTCAGTGGACATAATGAATGTCAGTGAGATGTAATGAATGTCAGTGGACATAATGAATGTCGGTGAGATATAATGAAAGTTGGTGAGATATAATGAATGTCAGTAAGATATAATGAAAGTTGGTGAGAAATAATAAATGTCAGTAAAGAATATCACTGAAATAAACCTCAATCTGAATGTCAGTGAGACCATACTTTATTGGACATAATTTCATGCATATCACACTCTAAAGTGAAAAAGTTTGATAAACAAGTCTTGTTTTGCACGTATAATATGGAAATCTTCTTATGTTTACATATTCACACAAAAATTAACACTCTCTGAGCTTTAATAGTTTCAATATTCTTTCTGATTATGATGTTGATGAAAATATACAAATATATTTAATACATGTAGATTTTCTTTTATTATAAGTAAGTAATTTCACTTATTCACAAGCATTATTCTGTGGAAGAAATACCTTTTCCTGAACTTTTTTTTTTGATCTAGCTGTATAAATAAGTTGAGGGACATTGTATAATGATTTAATTACATTGCATTTAGTTGATGTTCAAAGCACGAATAAACTTGCATCATCTCCGCTTGTAAACATGGTAATAAATGTGTAATAATTATATTAAATTATGAGCATTATATGCACAATTAATTATGTAAACGATGTTTTTCTTCTGTCCTTAAAACTGCTGAGTAATCCATTTGTACATGTATTAAGTTAGATGATGTCTTCTTAAAGGCCCATAATGCCCCAGAAATACATTTATTTTTATTTTATCAAAAGCTTTTTAATATCGACGTTCTTTTATAGTATCCAAAATGTTACTCACTGACCAATTACCTGAACCATCTCTTTCTTCTGTCGCTTTTTGGCAATTAATACAATTGTAGTGTAAGTATTTTGTATGGAAGTCAAAATACTTCTTTGTTTACATTTTGCTACTTTTGTGACCAATTATTAACATTTAGTGCTACTTTTTTCAGTTAACAAGCATCTAACATGCTCTTAAACCATTATTTAAATGAAATAAAATTAATATTTGACAGTTTAAAGAAGTTAGTAAAAATGTAATCCTTTTCGAAGCATACTGTACCTTTAATGTTATTGAAGATTTGAAACATTTTATTCATACTTTTAAATACGGTTAATGATAAGGGGTTTTTTGGCGTTTTCATTTCCAGATTTCAAGGTCTTGTTTACATCTTGATTGAGATGTTTAATTTTGTCTATGTGTAAAAAGTTTCTAGATTTAAGTAGGCAAATTACTTACTTTGGTATATGTTTATAAATAAAATCATAAGCCATATAATTATATGTGTTACTGTCTGCTTAATTATAACATTCCAGTTTATAATGACGTAATAAACTGGTCATTTGCAGGACATTATATTTTACAATCTTCGGGATATTCAATAATTTTTAACCTTTTATAACCGTAATTTATTACATAGTGATAAAGGAAAAGTGATTATATATAATCTCATGCCCAAGATTTTGAAAAAGTAAGTTTTGTTCCAGAATGACTGATTTGCTACAATATTGTCCGATATTAGAAATTTGTTGGCGGGAAAGCATTACAATAAGACTGTCTTGATATAAAATAGTGTTGTTTTTAGTAGTATCTTATATTTACATGATTTTTTCACTTTAAGGTAACAGTATATTGCAGTACGAAAAGCAACGTAATAAAATTTATTTGTCCGCAATATAAATTCTATACTTCTGGAAAGACTTCACTGATCAGAGATGCAGATAACATTATCTATGTCTCTGGTGATATTTAATTTCATGCATGACAAACAATTTTTAGTCCCCTACCGGTTTACAGGAGGGGACTTTAGGTTTACCCTCCGTCAGTCTGTCCGTCCGTCTGTCTGTCAGTCCGTCAGTCCGTCCACAAAACTGGATCCCGCGATAACTTGAAAAGTACTGAAAATATTTTTATGAAACTTGATATATGGATAGATGGCAGTATGGAGATTATGCACGTCTTTTTCTTTTCTTCCTATGTTGAATATTCTGGTTGCTATGGCAACAAATAGGCTGAAAATATGGCAAATTTTACACATAAACTGGATCCAGTGATAAAGCAAAAAGTACTGGAAATATTTTTATGAAACTTGATATATGGATAGATGGCAGTATGGAGATTATGCACGTCTTTTTCTTTTCTTTCTATGTTGAAAATTCTGGTTGCTATGGCAACAAATAGACTGAAAATATGGCAATTTTTACACATAAACTGGATCCTGTGTTAACGCAAAAAGTAATAGAAATATTTTTATGAAATTTGTAATATGTGTAGATGGCAGTCTGGAGATTATACGCGTCTTTTTCTTTTCTTCCTATGTTGAAAATTCTAGTTGCTATGGCAACACATAGACTGAAAATATGGCAAATTTTACACATAAACTGAATCCAGTGATAACTCAAAAAGTACTGGAAATATTATTATGAAACTTGACATATGGGTAGATGGCAGTCTTGAGATTATGCATGTCTTATCTGTTCTTCCTATTTTGAAAAAATATTGGTTGCCTTGGCAACAAATAGGCTTAAAACATGGCAAATATAACAATATTTGTGATAAGTCAAAAAGAGCTGAAACTTTTTATGAAATTGCATCTTTAATTCCAGAGTTATCTCCTCTTAAGAATTTTGCTTTTTAAAATGTTATATTTTGGTAACAGGGATGTTTCAAATATTAACTTTAGAGTGTCCTTCAGTCCGTCTGTCTGTCTGTTCATAAAAACTTTTTCCTGTGATCACTTTTAAAGAACATTTCCAACAAATTTACTTAAAAAAGAGAAAAATTTACACATTAGAATGCTGATGGGGTTCTATCCGGTAGGGGACTTATGGATTGCTTGCAATACTATGATAATTGCTTGTTAACTGATATTTTATATTGCATATACATATGTATGAATATTCAATTTATATAAAGATTTTTCCTTGCTTCAGGTTGCTATTATATGGCCGATAATTTATGTAGTTATGTCGGCGATACTGGTACTCTTACCTATGTACTCCAGCCCTGCTGAAACAGGTGTGTATTTATTCTTACTGTTTTGATTTATGTTCCCCAACAACAAAATTAAAGAGCGGCTTCAGTGACTGAACGGGTTGTACCTGAGGTCTTCTTAAACCTGAACCTCCCAAATTTTGTAAATGGACCTGGCTACCTTCCAGGCTTTTTGTCTTACCCATTGTGTCATGTTTCCATAGTGCTGAGAAAAACCCTGTTCCATGTTTTGGGAACTGTCCAATTTTGGGGGTATCAAAATTATTTATGGAGACTACAGAATCTTTTCATTGGGTAGGGGTGAACATTGGCATGAGGTAATGACTAGTAACTCAATCTTCAAAAATTGATTGGTTTCCTAAAGTTATCAACTTTTTTTGATGTTTACTCTGCAAAATTTGTGAAATACAGACTAGCCCTGCCATGGATTTGGAACTATCCATTGATACTATTAAATAATAATTATATATATAAGATTTTGATGTTGAACTGATAAAACTTTTGGAGTCATTAATCTGGTGAGATTGGATGGGTTGTCCGGTTAGATTGGATGGGTTGTCCGGTTAGATTGTATGGGTTGTCCAGTTAGATTGGATGGGTTGTCCGGTTAGATTGTATGGGTTGTCCGGTTAGATTGGATGGGTTGTCCGGTTAGATTGGATTGGTTGTCCGGTTAGATTGGATGGGTTGTTCGGTTAGATTGGATGGGTTGTCCAGTTTGATTCAATGTGTGTGAGGGCTGACCAGGCTTTATATTAAAGATATAATTCACCTTAGCTTTTTGGACAGTTGATGAAGAATACTACCAATCATAGCAATCTTAATGTAGATGGGGTATTTTCTATTGCTTGAACTATTTATACAAGGAGGAAAACAGAAAATATCATTTAAGGCATTAACCTTATGTAAAAACACATTTTTTGCAAAATTCTTTACATAAACCATCAATTTTTATACACAAAATGTGTATTTTTATACCATTTTACCTTGCTTACATTCACATTGACCTTTTGAAGTAGGTTTAATTGCCTATTTAGGCACTTCAAGTTGACTTAAATTAATTTTTATCACTTACACATAGGAATGCATATGTCTGTAATTATTTATAAAATAAAACATTCATAGTTGGTCGTTTATTGGAGATAAGGCTAGCTTAGATGAATTGTTAATTCTTTTAAAATATAGCACTCCTTGTTTATGGTTCATAACAGATTTATGAATTTATGTTCATAATTTGTGCATCATGATTATGCACTAAAATCTATTTATAGTAATATGCATGTTCTTGTATGACATGTGGTAAGGATGTTTTATTTTTTTATCTTTAATTTTAAAACTTTTTGGTTTTGACATATATGTTCCCAAAAGTATATACAATGTACATACAAAATATCCAACAAACAAAATACTTTTACAAAATGGAAAAGGATGAGAACTAAAGACAGGTCTTATAGAATTCTGTTCGTTAAAGTATACAAAGATTTAAAAGTTTTTCATAAGGCCATACTTGAAAAGTATTAGTTTATAGTTTTCCCTCTGTTTAAAATTCATAATAAAGACAAACATTCTTTATGGAAGTATTTTATTTTACAGTTCAGTTGCTTTTAGACATTAAATGTTTGCTTGTTAATAATTTTAAAGTTAAAGATGCTATGTCACCCTTGAGTGAAATATTTTAATCACTGAAATATAATGAAACATATGAAATTCTTACTGAATATGTCTTAGTTGAATAAAAGAATGAATAAACTATGTATGGGAAGCTCCATTCCCTATTGCAGGTCAAGTAATGTTGGTCTTTTCTATAAAAAAACTGCTAGTTTTTATTACTGACACTATATATTCATATTGTATCCACCTACCTACCCATGGGAAGAATTTTATACATAACATTTCTCACTAACCAGATAGAAAAATCCTTAAATGTTACTAAAAATAGCGGTGTTGGAAAATCTTATCTCACATGGGCTTATCTCACACTCAACGTGCAGCAGTTCTAAATAATACGCGATTCACTCCTATTTTAACAAAAATTAAACGTCAAAAGGTCAAAATGTATTAAAAATTTGTAAACTAATCTATCAAATTGTCTACGGAATCAAAATAGATTGATATTAATTTTCACACTGCAATGAGTCCTACTCTACCTAGATCCGCCCTTTCCAATAACGATCTGTTTCTTAAAATAGCACACTTTAAAATATCGAAACGTTCTTCGTAAAATCGGATATTATGACACTTTGCCTGAAAAACATTCATGTTTTTTGTTATGATAACGATGCTTTTTGATGACGAATCTCATTTTGATATATTTTAATTGAATATTCGGCCAAAATAACCGAAAAAGTAGAAAAACCTTTGCAAACGGTAAACGCTTTTTTGTCAACCATTGAAGTATGGACTGAATTCCTTATAAACACTTATATTTTGGCACTTTCCGTTTTTAATATCGATGTGTTTCATCATGATAACCTTGCTTTTTCATGAGGGGTCTCATATGAATTTATTTTCATTAAATTTTTCACACATAAACTTGGTCAGAACAATTTTTTGCGGACGTACATAATGCTTTTTAATCATAGAAAGTCAGGCGCCTAAGCCCCGCCCCCTTTTCAAAACTAGGTACGTTGTAATGGGCGTAGCAAGTAGATTCACTGATATTTGTGTGTTCAGGTGAGTGAGAAAAATAATCAACCATTGGGTTAGATAGAGGATAGGGAAATCCCAACCCTCGGGCAATCGGTTCCATCGGGAACTCGCCAAGGCTCGTTCCCGATGGAACTGATCACCCTCGGGTTGGGATTTCCCTATCCTCTATCTAACCCAATGATAGATTCTATTAATCTACGTTGCATGAAGTCAGACATGTTTATTTTATGTTTACAAAGAGACTGTGTAGCAATTATCAGTATTTTCTAATATCAAATTTTAACGTAGTGTATCTTGAACCCTTAACCTGTTTGCAACTAAAAGTGACCAGCCTTTGCCACCAGTATAGAGCCAGGCCAGCCTGCAACATCCGTGCAATCTAACCAGGCTCTATACTCATGGAAGCTCAATTTTTGTATTTTGATATTGCAATCCCTTGAACTTTGAATGGACTGTTTTATAGTATCTTTAATATAATTATATATTTCAGGGTTTGGTTGTCTCATCATTGCCACGGGTATACCTGTATATCTAGTGTTTGTTTACTGGGAAAATAAACCTAAATCTATAACAGATTTCCTAGGTAAGTACTGCTTATAGTAATCCTTTACATTACAACTGGTGGTGTTGGTAGTTTTAACTCTGGATCACCGCCTCCGTGGTCTAGTGGTTAGAGTCAATGACTTCTAATCCAGTTACCTCTCTGGCGTGGGTTCGGTCCCTGGGAAATGCTTCGGTAGTTTAGGACGGAGGAAGGTAGTCTAGTATTGGTGTAACTCTCCAGGAACGATGGTTAGGAGACTACCCGCCTATATGACTGAAATACTGTTGGGAAAAGGCATAAAATGAAACAAACAAACAAACAAAATAACTCTGGATCACAGCAGTAGGCCACATTGACTTTACCAGAGCACAGTTCAGCCATCACATCATTCCTGGGCATGCTGTCAGACAGTTTACCAGTACTGGTTTCCTTCACATTTGCAAGGAACTGATTACTTTCGTACATGCAAGAGCAGAGGTACAGTACGAATGACCATGGAAGGGATTTCATGATCAATCACAATAAAAGTAAACCTGCACTGTCCGGGAAACAAACCCGGGTGGCCCGAGTCACAGTTCAGAGCACTCTACCTATTGGCTTCAGATCACTTGCCACTCACTTTGCTTAAAAAGAGAGCGCATGAGATTAGTAATTGAAGGGTGACAGGTAGGATCCTTGAATGATTGAGTGTAAAGGTCGTTTGTCATTCACAATTGTTCATTTTTTGTTAGAAGGATGCAGCATTTCTTCATATAATTTGAGTATGCCCTAAATTTCTGTAGTTGTCACATGCCTTTGTATGTTATGAAACAATACTGATGATTATGGTTATATGTGATTCCATATTTTATATAAATTTATCTTACAGATCGTGTTACTTTAGCCCTACAAAAACTGATAATGTGTATCCCAGAAGAAGCTGTAGAGAAAAAGACTACTTAAAAAGGTAAATTTATGAAATTCCTATCTATGGTTTCCTTACAAAATTGTGATGTACTTGTTATTTAACTGTTTTAATTTTCTCAGTGTCTAACTAATAGAAGTATTTCTGTTTGATTTAACTACTTTCAGTAATATACTAACAAATTAGTCCAGTGGAACATACAAACATTAATGTTTGATGAGTCACGAATCTTCATCAGAGTTATTTAATATGAGATATACATGTTTTAAAATTAAATGTTGTAACATATAAAAATCTGGTATATTTGTAGGCACATAATTGTTCTAAAAAAGAACCTGCAATTTTGAGTTTGGGTTTAATCCAGTCTGCATATAGTTTCTCAGTGTCTAACAGAAGTATTTTTGTTCATTTTTTTGCTCGCGACTAATGAAGTTTCAGAAGTATATACATTACAAAACTGTGGGGCCAACATAGATAAATACATATATATAAATTGAATTTATATTAGAATGTAGCAAAATGTATGATAGCTTTAAGACTGAAATAAATGCATTTTAAGCGTGGCTTTATGCATATCAGCCATTTTCATTTTGATAATATATTTTTTGGAGGTATTTTGTATTGAATTGTAATTAAATAATTAGATATTAATGGGAGTTTTCGTGTTGAATCACATTATACTTCTAAAATAATCAAAATAGCAATTAACAGGGTATAATTGTATGTATAATACTAATGGACTGGAGAGTGTTATTACCTGTGAACATGTAATACTATCAAAAATATGTATTATTGGGATTTAATTACATTTTGTTTTGTAGAGTGTACTTTACGGAATTATTCTGTTCATGATATATGGAAAATAATTGTAAATGATCAGCTGTATATGGGTTTTAAGTCAAAGTAAGATGCTAATAAGAAAGAAAATTAAACAGTTAAAAAACAGCTCAAAAAGAGAGGTGAAGTTGGAGTGACAAGCTTAATGGGTTTAGGAAGTGTTGCACATTCTATTATATCCAATGAACAGTAGCAGTGGTGGCATGGCTGAGTGGTTACCATGTTGGACTAGTTATCTAAGGATTGTGTGGGTTCAAACCCTGTCGGGGGCAAGCAGTAGTTTCCTTGAGCAAGAAACTTTACATTCATTGCTTAGTACTGGTTGGGTTCCAGGAACGGATTCGAGAGTATTTCAATAATCTTATAGCTTCCAACACAAACTAAAATAAATTTGTTTAAACTTTCTAAACTAATGAACAGACTCGAACTGAGTCTTCAAGTTTTTTACTTTAAAACTTTGTTTGTTGATGTGTTTACTCTCGATAGATCTCCCCTATTTCCAGATATATGTTTTACACCTATCAGTAAATCAGTTTTTCTGTACCATATATCTCTTTTCTTTCAGACATTTTGAAAATATTCGAGCTGTAGAACAAACAAGATCAAAAATACAAATACAACATCAAGCCCTTCCATACAATAAAATAGAAGATCCTAAACATAAGAGCTAAACCTCAGTCACTATAAATACCGTATATAGGAAGGACTTTCCCAGAAATGTCAAGGCTGGTTCCCTCAGCTTTCCAAGAATCGTACAGTCAAGCTGACTCCCGGCTTACCAAGAGTTTTCCAGCCAAGATGACATGCGGTTTGAGGGAATGGAACACGGGAGACGTACCATTGTAAAATAAAAAAAAATTTAAAAGAAGATTTTTAGGTACAGTAATGTCACTGTTACCTCATTTACACAAAAAATTAATTGTCATATTGATATACATATTTATGGGTTATGTAAATGTTTTTCCTAGCTGTTCCTCTGTTAACTATTTCACACAAAGAATAGGTACCTTTAAGAGCAGTTAAGTATATTTGTAAATAACATGTACATACATGTTAGTTGTTAATGATTATAATAGTAATTAAGATATTTTTATAATATTAATAAATGCTGAGTTATGTTAAGCCCTTTTTTGTAAAAAAAAAAAAGATGTTCATCTTAGTTCAGTAAATACATGTCAAGTGTTTATGATTATAATAGTAATTAAGGTATTTTAGAATATTTTAAAATTGATAATGCTTAATTATTTTTTGCCCTTTTTTTAAAAAAAGAAGATATGTTTATCTTGGATCATTTACTTTTAATATACTTTTTCTTTAATTTAAGCTTGTTTTGATTGATAAGTGTATATATATATATATATATTGTTCTTAAAAGTAATTTGTTGTTAAGAATAGGGAAAAAAATTGTTTCGGAAGTAATGTTACGCATTTTCAGATGCTTTTTAAAATTGTAATTTTGTTTTTAATAACTTCCTGATGATGAGCAATAGATTACAGACTGTCCAATAGATGGCCACTGATTCTATGAGAATATGTGCTAGTTAAAAATAACAAATAAACAATTGACCGAATAGGGTATGTATCTAAATTTAATCCAATAGGGTACATATGTAGAACTTGTGTTGCAAGTCTTATAAATGGATAAATAACAATTGACCGAATAGGATATGTATCTAAATTTAATCAAATAGGGTAGATATGTAGAACTTGTATCGCAAGTGATATAAACTGATATCAGATTTAAGTATCTAACATTGGTGGAAGTATCAGGTGCAAGAGCTTGAATTAAGAAATATGTGCTTGCTAATTATCAATTATCATTAAATATTGACATTGCTGTATTTTTATAATGGGCTTGTCCAGCTTGTTTGAAGTTGGAACAGTCCATTGTTAGCCTGAGGGATGTCATTATCAAAATATCAAACATCTACTATGCACATCCTGGTGTAAAATATTTTAGTCATAGAAATTTATGAGATCTATGAAATTCTTACCGAATATATCCAATTTGAATAAAAGAATGAATAAACTAATTACTATGTATAGGAAGCTGCATTCCTTACTACAGGTCAAGTTAAATTGTTCTTTTCTTTAAAAAAAAAACTGCTAGTTTTTTTTAATGACACTATATATTCATATTGTGACCACCTATAGTGTGTAGGATCTTAAAAATAACATATCTACTTTGTGTAAAGTCAGAACATGTTTATTTTATATTCACAAATAGACCATGTAGCAGTTATCAATATTTTTCTAATTTTAATTTTTAGCATAGTTTATCTTAAGATAGGGGCATTAAAATCAATAAAGACTGTGGTGTTGTCATTATCACCACTAACAATGATGCACAATTAGTTTCCATTAAACATAAATGCTGATTTTTTCTTAGAGATGCTGAGTTTCCATAGAAATATAATTATATATTTACATATAATAAGTTCACATATTGAGCATTATTTAACATGTGCAAGAAATGTTTCACTTATTGTGAAACAGTGTATTTTTATGTTGTTAAATTTTTGAGATGTTAAATTAGACTTGAAGAAACAATGGTAATACATTCATAATTTCATTTATTGTTAAACACTGTAATTTATCTTTAAACTTGGGTATGTCATATTTCATTCATTTTCAAACAAAGATTTATTCGGCATAACATATGCACATAAATTTCACTTACTTTAAAAGGATAGATAAATCTATATTAATGAATAACCATATATGTTTCATAAGAATAAAAAAGGGTGTAAGTAATCTTTCAATATTTTTAGTTAGATAAGATTTTATTTATCTTGTATCCTGGAAAAATTTCATGCATTATCAAACATTGAGGGTACCTCATGGTCAGACGTGCTGAAGTTCATGATATAACTCTGACTGTAGTTCATGATCAAACATTGAGTAGTTCATAATCAAGAATGGTTCATAATGGTACACAAATTGTAGTTCATGAACACATTAAATGTAGTTCATGGTCAAACAAATTGAGTGTAGTTCATCAGACATCATTGAGTATAAGATATTATTAACAAGTGAGTGTAGTTCATGACCAGACACTGTGTGTAGTTCATAATGATACACTGAGTTAGTTCATGGAAAAATAATGATTGTAAGTTCATGGTCAAGCATCAATCATTGTTCAGGGGTTTCAATGTTAAAGTATATGTTACAATATTCTTTGTGAGTATAGAAACTTTGATCAATTCAATTAAATTTGAGTGTAAGTTCATGATCGACATAATGAGTTTTAGTTTCATTGGTCAGTCAAATTCATTGAGTGTAAGTCATGGTCAACTATCTAGAGTAGTTCATTATGAAAACATTGATTGTAGTTCATAATTAGACATTGATTGACTATAGTTCATGGTTAAACATGATGGTTGAAAATCACTGCCATGCAAATATATATGACCACTACCTATTTAGTTACCATATAAACATGTATATATACATGATAACCAGGGTCTGATGTTTATACATCAATTACAGTGATGTTGATAATGAACTATTTTCAATTTGTTTGTTCACTCTTTGTAGAGATATTCTGTTGAAATACAAAAAAAAATTGAAATTTATCTTTGGAATGATTTTATATGGGAAAATAAAATCTTAGTAAGGTTATGCATGGAGAAAGTTGTTGGTATGCAGTTATAAGGCTGACTCGTTTAAATTATTCAGACTTGTTGAACTATTTTATGATTTACAAACGATAAAGATATATGTTGTTGTAGTTATTGTTGAAGAAAAAAAAATAGAATAAATTTTAGGAATCCATTTTTAAATGATTAAATAGTAATTTTATTATGGCAAACCAGTATTTTTGTATGGGATTTGCCACATGTTAGAAAAAATGGAGAACATTCTGGTCGTAACTTTTGTAAAGGAATCTGTTATAAACATCTGCCATTGAGTATGGAGTGTTTTAAAATTGTTGCATATTTATTTCTTTGAATATTTATGTTACTTTGTACATATTGTATCTTTTTTTCCTTAATTAATTATTCTATTAATTAATTGGATTGTTTCATTAATTGATTTGTTATTATACATACATATATATTGTCGGTGCTTGTATTTATAGGGAAACTTTTTAATACATCAGTTTTAGCAACTTATTTTAAGTAACTTGATTTAAAATACCTGTGTTTTTATTCTTCCATAAACTGCGGTTGTTTACTCAGGAAGCTTAGATAAGAAAATCTATTTTTAATATGATTTTTACATATCGAGGGCTTTGTGCGACATGGCTGAAACTCATATGATATAAAGATGGAGTTACAAACATTTTCACATCAAGCCTTAGATTTCTTAATGCTACAAATCAAAGACGTTATTTCAGTAATGCACAAAAATTCTATTTTTCATTTAAAGAGAGGCATAATCACGTATATTTCACTGAACTTATTTAATCTACAAGCAAAATTAAAGAATTTGTATCATTCCTTTTTATTATTGTTCTGCAAATTATTTGTTATTTATTACTATTACTATATATTTTCCTGTTTACGACAGTCATTGAGTTGTATGTATTTTATTGTGATTTTATCATTTAGAAGATGATTTATTCTATACCACATATTAGTTCAGCATTTAGAATATGTGTTTAAACTATCTAAAAGCAGGGTCGATATTTTACCTGATCATTTCTGGAATTATAGTGCATATTCTGAGATACAGACATAATTTAAAAAAGTTATTGTTCTTCAATCATTGTGTTGAATGTTCTGTTGGCTATGTGTACTCAAGCTAATTCTTTATGTGGAATCAGATGAAAGGTACCAGTCCATTCTAAAGCATTTTAATGATAAATAACAATGGTGTGTGTAATATATTAATGACTGATTCTTAGTGAATATTGTTGTCATCTTCACCACTGTGATGAAGTCTTTTATTTTTAATCACCCACAAATATAATATACAACACAATGTTATACACTTAGAAATTTTAGTCATATTCAGGGTAGCTTATATTGGTTGATACATATAATTGTGTATTTTTACTTGTATGGTCAAATGTACAGTGTCAATATATGTACAAACAGCCCTCAAATTATATACTATATTTTGCATTTCAAAGAAAAAATGTTACTTTTGATCTGTTGAAAATGTTATTGAGAATATGGACATTTATTTATTCATGTATATACATGTATAATGATGATACTTCAGTAGAAGGCCCGTCCATGCCTGGAACAATGAGTGGAGGCAAATCTGAGGTTTTTTGTTAATCAATAATGCTTGAAAGTTGTCCTTTGACCATTGCAATTTTGGTGCGACAACAATGCTTTAATTGAAATATTAAATCAATATGTATAAGATAGAAGAGTAGTAAAAAAATATATGTGGAAAAACTGCATTTTATGTTGGGAAATAAGTCTGTTTTATTCAGTGGTTGAATAATTTGATAACAGGGACCAGTCTGAAATTTCTGAATTCTGATTGGTTGTTTCAGCACATTAAATAGATTCTGATTGGTTGTTCCAGCACATTACATTATGTTTTGACCAATAAGGTGAATTGTTTTATGTAAACTTGTCAATTAAGTCAGTCAGGCAGATAGATCATAAGTAATATTTTTCTATGAAGAATTAATTTTCTTATTATTTTTTAATAAGAATATTTGTTAAATGTTACATTTTGTTCTGTGTGTTTTATTTTGTGAGATAATGTGGAACATTCCCTTTTAACTTCCTCTGCTTAATACAACAATTTCATTTCCCTGATTTTCACTTGTTTTTTGTTTTATTGTATATTATTAATATATAACTAACTCTCCAATCAAAGTTTTATTTCAGACTTAAAAGATAAAAAGATTCAATATTTTTACTTGATACAAAAATCTTTGATTTGTATTAGATCTGATTTAAATCTTGGTATAATCATACTTTTATTTTATTTTTTTTCTCAATGAAAGATCTTTGTTTTTAAACTTATTTTTTAAAAGAATCATTAAATGTGCTATTCATAATCATTTTTTTAAAATATCTTTTTTTAACCAATATGTTGTTATTATATATTTTTAATTTGTTTTCATACAAGATACATATATGGTCACCTTAAGTGCAGGTTAATTACTTACATAATTTTAAT